AATATCTCACTCTCACACATTATCATCTGTCTTATCTGTCTTATTATTATCTCTGTCTCAATATCGATACATTATTTGGTTAACTTACAGGGGAAAAATAATTCAATCATTGGGGATGATTTACTTTTTGAAAAAATGCATAATTATTATAAATGAAAGCGCTACTTAAATCACTAGTTGCCAAAAGAACAACGCTGCTGGTGACATAAATAACACTGAGTTAGACAATAACACTGAGCACGTGTCACACTGCAGGATTTCATGCAGCATGCATGAAATAACACTGAGTTACACAATAACACTGAGTTAGACAATAACACTAAGTTAGACAATAACACTGAGTGAGACAATAACACTGAGTTAGACAATAACACTGAGTTAGACAGTAACACTGAGTTACACAATAACACTGAGTTAGACAATAACACTGAGTTACACAATAACACTGAGTTAGACAATAACACTGAGTTAGACAATAACACGTGTCACACTGCAGCATGGCGGCCGCAGTGTACGTGGTGGTGACGCTGCTGGTGATATAAATTACACAGAGTCACACAAGAACACTGAGTACGTGTCACACTTCAGGATTTCATGCAGCATGCATGAAATAACACTGAGTTAGACAATAACACTGAGTTACACAATAACACAGTGTGTGTCACACAGCAGCATGGCGGCCGCAGTGTACGTGGCAGTGACGCTGCTGGGGATATTCAGGGCCGCGCAGGCGCAGGTTTACGGGGCGGGTGCCTGCCCTGAGTACCAGACGTCTGATGCCTTCAACCTTCAGCACATCAGCGACGTGAGATTAAAAATTTTTGTTAAATAAATAATTTTTAAAAATGAATAATTTCTAAATAATTAAAAAAAATAATAATAATTTTTGTTAAAAAATGTATGGTTTTTTATAGAATTTCGAAGTTACGGTTAAAGATTATTTTATTGTTAACATATACATGGTTTTTATGGAATTTTAAGGTTAAGGGGAATTATTATACGCTGAGCGCATGGCATAAGAATTTTTCTTTATATATCAATTGACTAAGTCGAGGATGGTTAGTCAGCAAAGTTTTAATTATGAGATTTGATCAAATATTTATTATGATAAGGTCACGATAGTTATGATAATACCATGGTGAATGATAATACCATTGTGACAATACCATTGCGACGATGATGATACCGTAGTGACAATATCATAGTGATGATAATAATGCCATAGTAACAATACTACGGAGATAAATGATAATACCATAGCGACAATATAATAATGATGAAGATACCATAGTGAGCACTCAGAGAAATAAGTCTCTGTATGGTCTTAAGTTTGTCCTGGTACATGCAGCTGGTGGAGCGAGGTGGTGTAGTACCATACCTGTCATCAGGCACCATCACAGAGCGCTACCAGTCATGTCAGTACCTGAGACTGCAGGATGGTGGAGTCTTCACCTACACATACAAGGATGTGTGAGTACCTATTCATGTTCCTACAGACAATTTTAAATTTTTTTAATTGAAAAATTTGATTATATTAAGAGTGAGTACCTATTCATGTTCCTACCGATAATTTTAATTTTTTTTTTAATTGAAAAGTTTGTATTATATTAAGAGTGAGTACCTCTTCATGTTCCTACAGACAATTTTAATTTTTTTTTAATTGAAAAGTTTGGATTATATTAAGAGTGAGTACCTATTCATGTTTCTACCGATAATTTTAATTGAAAAGTTTGGATTATATTAAGAGTGAGTACCTATTCATGTTCCTACAGATAATTTTAATTTTTTTTAATTGAAAAGTTTGGATTATATTAAGAGTGAGTACCTATTCATGTTCCTACAGATAATTGTAATTTTTTTTAATTGAAAAGTTTGGATTATATTAAGAGTGAGTACCTATTCATGTTTCTACCGATAATTTTAATTGAAAAATTTGGATTATATTACGAATAATCCACCATTACTAATATAAGATGCTACCTTTCTCAAAACATTTTTCATCTGGATTTNAGGTCCTGTCTCTTATACACATCTAGATGTGTATAAGAGACAGGGCGAACGCTGTATCACCTAAAGTTTCATGTATCAGCATTCATTCATTCATTTGCGCCTGTCTCTTATACACATCTAGATGTGTATAAGAGACAGGTCCAGTATACCGTAGCTGTGTTCATCAAAACAGTTCAGTGAAGTTTTACGTGAACGAATGCTCGTGATTTTTGGAAGATAATAAAAGAAGCTTTGAAGGATCAGCCGCCATGACAGGTCGCAATATCAGGGCTGCTTGTATGTAAGCCGCTTGCACTCACAGAAATAAATGAGATTTTGTCCAAATAATGCTGCACTTTTTGTCTATTGTGAGTCATACTGACCCAGTTTGACCCGGCAAAAGAGCGTATGAGTGCTACGTACTCGAACTGTTGATAAAAAATTGTCTCTATTTGTACAATATAACTCATACGTAATTTTATTCGTTTTTTATACTAACGACTTTTTAAAATATTTATTTCTGATACAATTTATTATTATAATATTTATCATTATAATATTGAATACATTTGTGTTGAAGTGCTCAGGTGTCTCTATTTGGAAAATATAACTCATACGTAATTTCATTCGTTGTTTATAATAATGATTCTTTAAAATATTTATTTCTGATATAATTTATTATTAATGATGTTTATCATTATAATATTGAATACATCTTTGTTACAGTGCTCGGGTATCACTATTTGGAAAACATTACTCATACGCAATTGTATTCATTTTTTATAATAACGATTTTTTAAAGGCTTATTTCTCATACCATTTATTATTAATAATATTTATCATTATAATATTAAATATGTTTGTATTGAAGTGCTCGGGTGTCACGATTTGGAAAATATGACTCATACGTAATTTTATTCGTTGTTTGTAATAATGATTTTTGTTAAATTTTTTTTCCATACCATTTATTCTTAATAATATTTATCATTATAATATTGAATACGTTTGTATTGCAGTGCTCGGGTCGGACGTGACGGGCAACGTGCGGCTGTACCCTGTGTTAGTGGACGATCAGAAGCA